GGTAGTATCTGTTCATACTATTTTCAAGCTAATGACTAATGACGCACAAAGAGCCAATGTTGCTGCCTTCGCTGGGGCTCGAATCTGGGTAAACTTCCCCATGAATCCTGGGGAGTGGGCTTGCTACCACTCAAGGCAGGGGAGAAGTTCAGGCTATAGACTATTATAATTATAATAAGAAGGGTTAACTTTTTTTGAAATTGGGTGTATAACTATTCTTACCATAATTATTTTTTTTTCAAAATTGGATGCATAATTGTATAACTTACTTTTTTTTAATTATTTCCAATTTTCAAAAAGTTACGCTTTGCATTTGTATAACTTACCTTTATTAAAAAATTACGCTTTGGATTTGTATAACGTACCTTTTTTAATACGTTTAATTATTATAAATATAATAATTATATTAACTTCCGATGGCTTACCATTTTATATTACTCACGTTAATTATTATAAAATATAATTATATTAACTTCTGATGGTTAAAAATGACAGTTACTTATTCTTATTATAATTTCAGACGTTTCCAACCAGTAGTCAAAATAACATTGGTTAATTATTAGTATATAATACATTGATTCCAATTTTATAAAAACTTACGCTCTGCAATTTTATAACTTACCTTTTTTAATTATTTCCAATTTTCAATACATTAATTATATATATATATATATATATATAATAAATATATTAACGTCATGCTTACCATTTTATATTACTCACGTTAATTATATAAAAATAATAGCTATATTAACTTCTCACTTACAATACGTTAATTAATTATTCTAAAAATAATAGCTATTATTATATTTATCCCTTTTTTAATAATTATAAATCCACAATTTCGGCCACTTACCATTTTAACATCACAATTATTTACTTACCTTTCGGCCATTTTATAATTATTATATACGGAGTATATAATAATTATAATAATTATTACTACAATTTTGGCCACTACAATTATTAACTTACCTTTTTTAATTAGTTCCAATTTTCAATATATTTATACCTTTTTTAATAATTATAACTTCACAATTTCAGCCACTTACCATTTTAACTTCACAGTTATTAACTTACCTTTTGGCCATTTTATAATTATTATAAATATAATAATTATTACTACAATTTCGGCCACTACAATTATTAACTTACATTTTTTAACTATTTCCAATTTTCAATACGTTAATTATTATATTTATACCTTTTTTTAATAATTAATACTTCACAATTTCAGCCTTACCATTTTAACTTCACAATTATTAACTTACCTTTCAGTCATTTTATAATTATTATAAATATAATAATTATTACTATAATTTCGGCCACTTACCATTTTAACTTCACAATTGCCATCTGTAATTGTCATATTCTTTGGGTGTAAAAACCATATGTTGACTCCATGTCTTTTTAAATAAAGTATGGATTAAATACCAATTATAAACGGTGTCGTATTATTTGTTCCTTTTTTTAAATTAATTACCAATTATAAACGGTGTCATATTATTTGTTCTGTTTTAAGATTACGTGTTAAAATTGGTTATTACTGTGTGATAAAAAAAGGAAGAGTATTTATTATAGATTTTAAACCATTTTTTAGAATAATAATAATTATTATTTTTTAGATTAATAATATCACGTTTTTAAAAAGTAATTTTTAAAAATCAGAGATAAAACTATTCGTATTCAAAAGGAAATTGGGACTTGCCTTTTTAAATTATTTCCAATTATCTTTTTTGTAAAATTGGGTTTATAATAGTATAACTTACCTTTTTAATTATTTCCAATTAGTTTTTTTTTTAAAATTGGGTGTATAATTGTATAACTTACCTTTTGTATTTATTTCCAATTGGGTGTATAAAAATGAGAGTTACGGTATTAAAATACCGTGTGATAAAAAAGGAACAAATTCCGAATGCCCCTACACAAAAAAAGTGGTTAAAATAACGTATGAAATTGTACAATTAGTACACTCCATACGAATTGATAAATTCAGTGTGATAAAAAAAAGGGTCTGTATTTATAGCTTTTAAACCATTTTTTTAGATTAATTTTTTAAGATTAATAATATTACGTAATAATTAATTTTTAGATTTATAATTTCATGTTTTTTAAAGGCATTGTGTGTAAAAACTAATATTAATTTTAACTTCATAATAATTAACTTGCCATTTGTAAATGTAATAACACATGGAAAATTAAGCACAGGCGCAAGTTTTTAATAATTATTATTATATTTTTGGTAACTTACCATTTTAAGTGAACAATTGCCATTTGTTAATGTAATAACGCATGGGCGGGAAAACAAAGGTTGACTCCATGTCTTTTTAAATAAAGTATGGATTGATGATTTTTTGGTATCTATTCTGAACGACTAGACCATTAATTTCAAATCGTTTCTATAAGTATTAGAAATTTTGTGATTATTTCTAAAAATCACACATGCTTCTAACAAATACATGGGTTACATGCTACTAAGAATTTGTTCTTTAAGACTGGACAAACAAGGTTGGACGTTGGAAGAAACTAGAAAAAATTGGAAGAATTGGAAGGAACTAGAAAAAAAATGGAAGAAACAGAAAATAATTGGAAAAAATTAGACAAAACTGAAAAAACTAAAAAAAATTGGAAAATATAAAAAAACATTAAAATAATTTATTTTAATAGACGCACCAGATCCTTCAAAAAAAAAACCTATAAATTCCCCTAAAACAAACCTTTAAAATAACTTTAAAATTTGAAAAAATTCTAAATTAAAAAAAACCTATAAATTCCCCCAAAACAAACCTATCTCTCACACATCTCTCACTATCTTCTCTCTACAATTCTATCAATATTTCAAATATTTAATTATTTATTATAAATATTTATAAAATATATTTTAAAAATGGGATCATCTTCATTAGATGATGAAAAAGAGCTCTCATTTTTTGTTATTTCGCCACGAGTTGTGTTCAATGGTGGGAACAAAGCGAAAAATTAAAGAAGAAGCCGATTCCTCCCGATGCCAGACTCGGACCCGACGACAACATTTAAACCAGGATCGAGCGGTTGCCCACGCTTCACTTCTCAACGACTATTTTAATACTTTGTGTGTTTATACACTGGAGGATTTTAGTAATCATTTTCGGATGAGTCGTCATCTCTTTTTACGTTCATCCAACGCTTTGATGTGAGAGGCCGACGCGGGTTTAGTAGTGTCTAGAAGTGCACTGCCGCGCTTCGTCATATGGCGTACGGGACGGCATCTGATATGTTCGACGAATACTTGAAGATGTCGGCTCGGAGCATCAGGTCCTGTGTTTATAAATTTTTTAAAGCTATTATTCAAATTTATCATAAAAGATATTTACACAAGCCTACAGCATATGACATTCAGCAGTTACAGGCAAGGCATGCCGCTAAACACGGCTTTGTCGGCATGCTTGGGAGTATTGATTACACGCATTGGGAATAGAAAAATTGTCCCACTGCGCGTGGCATGGTCAATTCTCCCGGGGAGATGATCCCAAGCCTACTATCATGTTCGAAGTTGTTGCTTCAAATGCCTTGTGGTCTTGACACGCTTTTTTCGGTGTCGCGGGCTCGAACAACAACATCAACGTTCTCGATCAATCGCCTCTTTTTGACGATTGGATTAATGAGACCGCACTCGACTCGTCTTTTGATCTTAGAGGGACGCTTTACAAGCGTGGATAATATTTGGCCGATGGAATGTATCCTGATTATTCCACGATTGTCAAGTCCCTCTCCGAACCAATGGTCTTAAACGCCAGACCTACCAAAAAGCTCACAAGGCGGCGAAAAAAGATATTGAACGAGCCTTCGAGGTCTTGAAGGCTAAGTGGCACATTCTAGATCGTCCGTCAAAATGTTTCTCTCAAACAAAAATGAAGAATATCATGTGTACGCATGTATTATTTTTCCTAATATGATCGTAGAGGACAACGACTTTGCGATTTGTCAATACAACCCGGACGAGGAGGTGCCTATGCACGAAGAAATCGACGAAGAAAAGAAACGAAGAAACCGCCAAGAAATTCGAAGCCGAGGGATTCACAATGCACTAACGACGGATTTTATCGAACATATCTTCAGTCGCTCGAATCATTAGTAATTCCTTTGTAGTGTTGTTTTTTATGGTTGTAATATTTTTTTAATGAATGTAACTTTTTTTATGAATGTAATATTTTTTTTAATGAATGTAATTTTTTTAATGCACTAGTCTTCATTCGATTATTTTAAATAATAAATTAATTAAAATTTATTATTTTAAATTTAGAAAATGTATATTTAAAATGTAAAAAATGAAAGTTTGAAGCCCTTGGGCTTCAAACCCATTTCTATTGAATCTGTGAGGTAAGCTAAAGTTGACGTAGCGGAGAGAGAAATTTTGAAGCCCCAGTTTGAAGCTCTGGGATTTCACGGAAATTCCAGTGCCCTAATGGGCCAATCTCAATCAATAATTAATTATATTTAATTAAATATTAGTTAATAGACCTTATGCTCCAGCACTGTGAGGGATTGAGGCTAATTCTTTTAACCCATACTCGGTATGTAATACCCTCCGTCCCGAAATATTCTTCTCGTGTTGACTTGGCACGCTTATTAAGGAATAACAAAAAAAATGTAAAATTTTCAAAAATACACATACTATAAACTTTTAAATCTCCTTTTCTTATTAAAAAAGTACTAAAAAAGTATATTAATTATAAAATAGAAGGATATTATTAAAATTTATCTTTAGAAAGTATACTAAAAAAGGAAATGGGAAGAATATTTCCGGACGGACCAAAAAGGAAAATGGGAAGAATATTTTCAGACGGAGAGAGTATTATAAAAACCTTGTAAAATAAATTTAAGTGCATTTATCACTTGTCCACATATCATTTTTTTAAGTAGAAGGGCATCCATGCCACTTGAAATGAGAAATGTGCTTTGGTTTATAAAAAAAAACTCTTTCTTTCATCTTCATTCTTTTTTTCCTTTTTCAGATTTTACATTTCACCCCTATTTTTTTTACCTTCTACACTTCTACATACATAATGAAACTTCGAGAAAATGCAAATAAAAAGCTCTAGCAGGACCTAAAAGAAAGTAAAATCAATGTGCGGCTTTCCAAACACGCCACAAACCACAGATCGCATGCACATGCGGTCCAATGATCTGACCCGTCTATCTATCTTCTCCTCAGACCTGAAATATATTGACCCGGTCCAATCCATGGATCCTGCCCGACCCGACCCGACAATCTTATTTCTTGCTCCTAACCCGAAACCTGAATTAATTTACTCAGAACTCTGCCGCCTCAGATTCTCGTAGAACTCCCGAATGAACAACTCGGCGGCTTCGTCCACGTGGCAGGCGTCGCCGTAAAACTCGTCGCCGTCTCTCGACTGGAACGGCGAGTCCGTCACCCTCAGCTGCCTGACCACCGGAGTCCTCCCGAACCCCGGCAGGGCAGGAGACGCGGTCGCCTCCGCGGCCTCCTCCTCCTCCACGGCGGGAGGCGCCTCCGCCTCGCGGCGGAGGTGCTTAGCGAGCTTCTTGACGACAATGCTCATGAAGTAGTTGGAGTTGGGGGAGTGAGGGGGGCGGTGGTGGGCGGGGCTGTTGTCGCAGCTGAACTCGAAGGCGTCGGAAGGGTCGTCGGGGAAGTCAACGCCGGAGGCGGGAGAGACGGTGGCGGCGGAGGAGGTGAGGTGGTGGATGACGGCTCTTCTGGCGGCGGCGATCTTGCCGCGCTTGAGCTTGAGGTTGAGATCGAGCATGAGCTTCTTCTTGGAGATGCCCTGTTTGAGGAGGAAAAGAGCGGCCTTTAGCAGGCTCCAGAACTTCTTTGATATTACCGGCAACTTGTTTGGCTCCATGTATATATATAATTATATATATATATATATATATATATATATATATTCACTTTAATTTTGTCTGTTTCTTTCGAGTTGAGAGGGGAAATTATAATTCTTTGATGTATTGGATTCTTGTGAATTTAATGGATCGATGAAAGACTGGATTTCGGGGGTGGGGGTATATATATATATATACACGGAGTAGAAGTCAGTGCGCGAAGGGATGGGAGTGTACGTTAGAGTTAAAGTAGGTAGGGTAGGGTAGGGGTAGGGGTTTTGGTGGCGTTTGGACAGTTCCGATGGGCTACACTTAGATTTCGTGCTAGATTGGGATATTTTGGTGGTGTTCAATTGTGTGTCTCTTTGTTAGGTCGGGTCATTTTCCTAGCTAATTACTCACCCTCTCCCAATTATTATCTCCCTCGCTAAATCATTGTCATTTCCATTACTTTTTCAGCTAATTTCGTTCTTGAATATTTGTCCAGTATATTGTTAGCAATATATTGTTAGGAGAGGGAAAGGACAAAGGGTTATGTGAGGGTTTCATACTTCTCTTTTCTTCTCAAGATATAGTCTCACACTTGAAAACTGCGTGTCTTTACTCGAACATCATCATAAGCAAGCCTTTACCTACCTCTGATATTTTTCCGCCCAAGAAAAGGCCTCATCACTTCTTTCTTCCAAGAAGTTTAATTTAACTCTATCTCTTGGTTTTCCTTATTAGCCTCCGGCTGGCAGCTCTTTTAATTTGATCACTAGCACGAGATCATTACCTCCACGTACCGGAGCCTTCGCCTTAAAATCATAAGCCAAACTAAATAAAGTATCTCTCTTTGCCTTTCTTAGAGTGGTTCGATAGGCCTAGAGGATCCCAGGGAGCTCATCCTCTCACTGCCCCCTTTTGCTAGCAACTTCTTCTTAATTCCATCCACGATTCGCATTTTCAACTTCGCCATTCGCCTAAGGATAAGCCAAAGAAGTGTTGCTATGTTGGATCCCAAAATTGTTCAAGAATTTGGTGAACACGAATGCCTAAAACTGCTTCTCATTATCAGTTATAATCTGCTATGGGATTCCAAAACTCACAAGGAATATGGAACCCCACAAACTTGGTCATTTGCTTCTTGGTGATACTAGTCAAAGGCATTGCCTCAACCTAGTTGGTGAAGTAATCAACTACCATGATAACCCAATGCACCTCGCCAAATCCCTGAGGCATAGCCCCTACCAAATCCAATCCCCACATAGAAAAAGGGAACATTATGCTTATTGGGGTGTAGTTGGTTGCCAGTATGCCTAGACATTCTAGAATTGCTGGCAAACCACACACTTCTGGACAAATTCTTAACAATCCTACTTTATTGTCGACTAAAAGTATCCCTGGAGGGGTCCTCCTGAACATCGCTAAAGCCCCCATGGTGGGCCATGCATATCGTGCCGTGAATTTCTCTCATGACTTCATCAACCTCTTTCTTCTAGTGGCAATGTAGCAATACCCTGTTTGTATTCCCTCTTGTACAATCTATCTTTCTAGATGGGATGTTGTAACTTGGGGCGTGCATTCTCAAAAGTCTAGCTTCTTGGGGTTCTTCCGATAATTCTCTGTCGTCATTGTACCAGGCCAAATGATCCAAATATTCAGGCGAGTTGGCTACTTCCCATTCCACCGCCTCCATCCCTTTAAGGCTATACTGGATTAATTCTTTGATGTGGGCCAATTAATTTCTATTTCTGAATAAACTTATTGTGTTTTTTGAGCATGAGTCCAAATTTGTGTTGTTTTAAATAACATAAGCTTCCGCACCATTTGGATTTTTACTCCGATAATGGATTTATTTTGAGAATTGTTTGGATGTTTTAAATTTGTTTTGAAAATAGTGTGTGTTTGGATACCAGATTAGTAGCAACCCGATTCGCTAACCCAGATATTTGGGTTATGCAGGTTAGGGTGGTACACTCTCTGACTTCGTCTCAAGTTGTACACTCAGCAAGGAAATCCACCTAGGTTTGCCCTTGACGGATGAACATGGCTTGAACTCCACCCAGTACTGGCTAATGAAGCAAGACCACTTGACCATCCTTGTGGAAGCCACGAGGTTTCTTAATATGGATGCAAAGGGTTCACTAGTAACTACCATTATGGATGCGTTTGGAAATATGAAGTTAGCCTTTTTCTAGTAAAAAACGCTAACATCACCATCTCCATCTTAGGGTACCAAAACCAAGGTCCACTAAGGCTTTTGTTTACATGATAGACAAGGTATTGAACCTCGTCCTCCTCTCGCATCAGAGCTATACTGACTGCACAATCTACCACCACCAAGTACATGACGAGGACCTTCCTGGGTTTCGGTTTGGAAAAGACAGGGGGTGGATCAAGTACTCCTTCATTTCATCAAAGGCCTTCTAGCACTCGTCAGTTCATTCATAGGTCTTCTACTACATAATTTTAAAATGGCAAACTCTTTTCCACCATTTTTGACAAGAAGCAATTTAGAGATGCCAATCGCCTTGCCAAACTCTGAACATCCTTTACGTTCCCTGGAGGTGCATCTCCAATTTGGCATGTACCTTATGATCTCTAGGTTTGTCTCAATGCTGTCTTTGCTCACCATATTGCCCAAAAACCTCCCGCCGTGCACTGAAAACATGCACTTCTAAGGATTAAGTCTCATATTGGTTGTGTTCAAGATCATAAATACATCAGCGACATTTGCCACCTGGTCTCCCAATCTCCAAGACTTTACAATCATATTGTCAACATAAGCTTCCATCATGCTTCCCAACACTTCACAACAAACTTTTGCCACCATCTAGGTATAGGTTTCCCTCAGCGAGATAAAAGTCTTATTTTGAGGTTTTGTAATAATAATTTGGAGAAGTGTATCTTAGCACGTTATTATTGACCGGTGTAACTTCTAAGATCTAGTGAAAGGCAAGGCTACTACTATACATAGACGTGGGCCCCATAGGCACAGGGAAATTTGCTATGAACGACATAAACAATTCTTTGTGTTTATTTTTACTTTCACATTTGCGTATGTGCATGTAACATAGAAGATGATATAGCACTCTGTCTATTTTTATTTCTGGGATCAGCTGGTTATTTCATAAAGAATCATGTGTCTAAAACTAAAAAAAATAAGCAATGAAACACCTTATTATTTGAGAAAATTGACTAATAAAAGTGACAACCGGCAAAGGACCATCTATGTTCACATTTACATAATTAAAATTTATCTAAAATATTAAAAACTAATTAAAAACATTCCGAAACAAGGATGATTATTAGCAGCGCATTACTCAATGAGTCACGAACTAATTTGAATAACACTTGATATTTTAAATTATTTTTTTAAATGAAAATTTCTTAAGAAACATTTTGTCCGTCCAAATTTAAATCAACTGTTTTACGTTGTTTGACTGAAGTTATTTTCAATAAAATTTATTTGATAATTGGGGTTGAATTAAAAAATAAAATTTACATATTTTAAAACTATATCAAAAGTTTCATAAAGCAAGAGACGATAAGATTATACAGAATATTATTTTATTAAATGAGTAATGAAAATAAGAAAAAATTGAATACAGTTTGAACATGTGAATAATAAACATGTAAACGAAATGAATACAAATTTAATTTAAGTAAGATTTCAAAACTCACTCCTTATGTCTAAGATTTATCTTCTCACTTTTCTTATTTGTTCGTCCATAAATTATCTTAACGTTTCTTTTTTGGCAAATGTTTTTTCTTTAAACCTCATCATCGGGGAATGCTTGGTTCACGAACACAATCTTTAGAAACTTCACAAACTTAATTACTATTTGTGAACTCTAATAAAAAATTGAATAGTCTAAAATAATTTTAAACTAAGAATTTAAACTATAAATAATAAGTTTGTGACTATTCTGTTTGTGAACTTAGCATTGTTCATCATCAGCTTTACTCATTAATTACTTAGCATATCTACATTTTATTTCACTTTTTCGCAATGACCAAAGGACACATATGAAAAGTTAAAATATTTTTTTGATGAAAGGAGTATTTTTTGATGAAAGGAGTATTTTTTGATGAAAGGAGTATTTTATTGTGAAATTTGCACTAAATAGAACTAAAACATAAGTCATTTCACAATGTAGGACTTAAACTTTTTTCTTTTCTAAATATGACTTAATAATGTCTAGTGAGAAAAATAATATCCAGTGATGGTGGACGTTTTACTTGAACAATGACTAATGGATAATGATCATTGGTCCTACATTAGGAAAATAAAAACATATAGTCCTATATTGGAAAAGTCATTATATTTTAGTATTATTTAGGTAAATTCCCTGTATATTATTAGGATGAGCTCATGAAATCACCAAATAGGCGTGGGGATACAAAATTCACCAAATAGGCGTGCGTTATTATTCCACAAAATGATGGCAACCATTCAAATTGGAGTATAGGGGTATAGGAGTGCGGGCGGGTGCGGGTCAAGTTTTGGTTCGGAAACCCAAGCTGCTCAATTCAACGGTAACGGGAATGACCGGCCCACATTCCACTCGAGCTTTCTTAGCATTGGAGGTTTGCCAATCTCAGTAATAAAAGAATTGAAAACTCATGTACGTATATGTCTCTTAGCAAGAAAGAAAAGAATATTCCGTGAAAGTACCGTGACAGTAAAAAGTAAATCACAAAAACTTACCACGACTGGTTATTATAGTAGGACTAATAACTTTTTCCCCTTTCAAAGTATAGTACTCCTTCCGTTCCAAATTATTTACCACATTTGTATTCCCGAGGCAAAATATCAAGTTTTTTCAATTCATTTTATTTATATATTGGTAAAGAAATAAAATGTAAAATTTACATATAAAAAAACTACATGAAAAGTTCTTCGAAATAAGAGGTGTCAAGAATATTTTATTTTATCAAATAACCAATGAAAACGTCGAAATAAACAAAAGTTCCCGCGACTGCTGAAAAATCAAATGTTGTGAATATTTAGGGACGGAGGGAGTAGTAATCACTACGCTCCCTACTTTCTTTTACTTTTTTTTTTGTAAAGTACCGGACCAGTATTAGTTAGTAATTGACCTAATTGTAAAGGACCATGTGCCCTTATAATATGAGTTCTCTTTCAAATATTATTGATTTATTAATGCAATGAAAAGTCCATGTAATACTTTATAAGTTTACATTAAAAAATTTTACGTTATTTATAAATACTCGTAACAATTTATTCATCAAACATTATACTCTCTCCGTTTCTTAAAACCCTTCCTCTTTCATTTTTTTTGTTTTTCTTAAAACACTTCATCTTTCTATTAAAAAACCACTTTTACCCCTACTTTTTCATACCCTACCTATCACATCATACTTTTTCACTAACAACTAAACTATCACATCTTACTTTTACCCATCACATCAAGGGCAAAATTAGAAAGTCAACTACAATTTAACACTTTCTTATTTTTCCCCAAAGTCAAAAAAGGAACTCTTTTGAGAAACGGAGGTAGTATTAGAATTTACTCACTAGTTAAAACTGTTAATTTTGAGTTAATATTGTTGAAAAATTAAAAACAAAAGTTCTTATTACACTCGTATTAGTTTTCAGGTTTTTGTTTTACGATTTTGAGAAATTCATGATGTAACAATTTCTGAGAGTGTGTCATGATTTTAAGCAATTATCAATATAAACTGTTTGGTTATTAGGTTATTCACAATGGTAGTGCTTGGAGTAATTAATATGTTTCGTTACATTTTTAAATAGGATGTAGTTATACTCATTCACATTTTGGATGGTTAGAGTATATAACTATGTCTGGCAGTCTTGGCCTACTTTTATAAATTTAATCTTTTAGTTGAGTTGATATTTTGACATAGTATTAGAGCTTTACTGAACTAAGAGGTCACAAGTTCAAATCTCATTGTCATCCATTTTAATTTAAAAATTAAATTAATGTTCACGTGCAAGGCTCAAAAGTTTTGTCCTTAAAACACAAAAGTTAGAATTCAGTCAAACATCGTAACATGCAATGAGAAGATAATGTTTGAACGGAGAGAATATAAGATAGAGTAAAGTTTTTTTATTTAACATAAAAAAAATAACATCTAGCCAAGAAGAGAGTGGATATAGCACTACCCTCTTAAATATACATATGTACCCATCACAATTATATTTATACAAAAATTAATATCAAATCATCGCATACTGATGTTTTGAGATCAGAATTAATCCGCACGACATAAAATCTTATACCCAAGCACAATAGAGATAAAAACTAAAATAAGAGTAAAAAATATAGAATACAAATTAGAATATGACCTTAAAGATTTTTCTCTCTAATTCGAGACCAGGAGGATAGTTAATTAACAAGGATAAAGCTACTTGTACCCCATATTTTGTACCCTACTTTTTACCCCGCAGGTTTGCACCAACACTTTGTGACTAACACTTTGTGTTGGTGTAAAACTAATTTTTGTTAATGCACAAACACTTTGTGTCTGTGTAAATTTTTGTTAACGCACCAACACTTGTGTCGATTTAAACCATCAAAATGTTTGTGTATGCCTGCGGTGTACAAATAGTGTATAATTTGTAGTGTAAGTGTAGCATGACCCTAATTAACAATTAGTTTCGGAGGCTCCTCGCTTGGGGACAAGACGGGGTTAGATTGTCATGGGAAAAAAACAAGCAAATAAATCAAAAACTAGAAGTGGCCCTTCTTCAAAATAAAAACAAAAACTAATAGAAGTGGCCCACTTCTCCTCGTCCCATAGGAAACGGAAACCGAGCAGGCCCACTAATTCTGGGGGACAATCATTGGGATTTCTCTCCCTTATCCACACTTTAGGCCTGCCCTTCAAATTAGTAATGTTCACGCATCTATGTTTTTTTTT